GTTCTAAACAGTGCAAGTGAGGCTATGTTCTTAAGCGGAAATGCTAAATTTATCAAGTTCTTTATTTACTTTCTTCAAGCTGACTAGGAATAATGGATGAACAAAACATTTCGAAGCCAAATAGATGTTAGAAGGTCCTATACTCGAAGGAGAGCAACCAACTTAATTCGCGATCTAAATCAAGGTCGGTAAAAGCAGTATTTACATGATCCAACCAACCTAAAAACAGTGCAATTCAATATATTTAAGTGTATGCATCTATGCACGTATTCATACATATATATATATATATATATAGCATACATTTCTAGTCAATTCTGGTATTCCTTTGACCTAAAAACCCATATAAAATAGTACAATGGGTAGTATTCATGTCTCAGGGTATCCATAAGTGCATATGCGACAGTAGCTTAATCTTCCAATTATACCTGTTTATAGATATATTGACACATCAGACCGAGCTGACTATGATGATGATATCGTTTTAAAAATGACCATCTACCCATGTACTTGGAGAGACAATATAGCGAGATGTAAGTATGTCTTTCGCTCTTTAGAGATTTTCAAATATTTTAACTATGCCCTTGGAAATACTCATGAACGACTAAACTGCCCTACGCTCATTGTGGCTGCCATTGCATGTAAGTACACTACTTGCATGCGGGCACGTGTCTATTGGCTGAAAGAATGGTAAGAAAGGTTGGCTTTCGATGAATCTCTTGTTTCATATTGTTGAGCTTATTTCCATTTCGAGTGAAAGTGTTTGGTGAAGAGATTCGAAGGTCGATTCCACCAGAAAACGACGGCGGATTCCTCTTGACCAGCTGTCGATTGGCTTTACTGGAAGGTTCATGCTGACGCTGATTCTGAGGTAATCTCCTTCGATTCTGGTGAAAATGTGCATAGTTTTCGTTAGCCATATGACGAACATCATCAGAGCAATGTATAATCGTCACAACCAAATTTAAGCTAATGAGTCAAAAAAAAGAAAAGACTCGTTAGCTTGAATTTAGTTACCTTGCTCTGATGATATCCGTCATAAGACGGATGAAAGCTTAGCACATTTTTACCGAAATCGAAGGAGATTACCTCGGAAACAGCGTCAGCATGAATGCTCCAGTAAAGCCAATCGACAGCTGGTTAAGAGGAGTCTGCCGTCGTCTTCTGGTAGAATGGACTTTCGAATCTATTCACCGAACACTTTCACTCGAAATGGAACTAAGCTCAACAATTATTAAAGAATGGGAACCATAGTTTTTAGCCAGACAAACACAAACATTGTTTAATAGCTTTATTCACCCTATTTCATTTAAGGTGATAAAGAGCTGGTAATTGAATTTCGCGTAGCCTTGCTTGCCGAGAGGTATTCCCATCCAGAGTGAACCGCAGGCTCGACCTCGCCTAGGCCTTGCCAGCACCCCCCGAGGAACTCGAACCCGGATACTGCAGCGTAAAGTCTCGACCTTAACCACTACACCACAATGCTGGCAGAAGGGACTCTCGGCACCTCCCATATCACAATTCTGTAGTGGGATTGTCGACGAATCAATTGACAGCAATACTTATTTTTCGTTTTTTTATGAGTGGCTTTTCGAGACCACCGGTAGATCGAGATAGTTAGAGTGTCTCTTGGGAGTACTGATCTACCTGTAGTCGCGAAAACCTACTTATTAAAAAAATAAAAACAAACTTTCTTTATAAATACTTTGTGGCAACTGCCTACTACTCAGCATCACGTCATATTCCTCTACTAATTGAAGATGAATTTCGCCAAATATGGGGTAGGAGCACAGTACAATTTGTATAATCTAAGTAGCTTCAACTTTTGGCCTGCAATGAATAGCATATCAAATAAAAAGTCTTTCAGAAAAAATTCGTATATTAATCTTACAGGAAACCTTATGAAGATGGTCTTGGAACGAAAGCAGTTGAATTGCGCGAAGAAGTCTTCCACTAGGCATCAAGAGAGCTCGATGAACCCGCGCTGAGTTTTCGTATATCATTTGACAGACCTTATCAGAGCGAGAAACCATGTCGCACTAGGAAGACTGCCGATATATTAAAATCAAGAGAAAGATTGACTAGCTAAAACTCTACTCTATCCTTGTTATCCTAATGAAGTATCCCACGAGTTAGTTAGTTACGTCATCTTTGTTGGGGAGACTTTCATTTCGTATAAAAGTGAATGGGGAAAAGATTCGAAGGTCAATCTCACTAGAAGAGGATGATTGATTCCACGCGGTCCACGAGACATTCTCCCCCGTTTCGGGTGAAAACGGGCTGAGATTTCGCCCATCATATGATGGACATCATCAGAACTGCAACTCATTCTTGCAAAAGTCTCCTGTTAACACTCAGTCAAAAAGACTATCCGGCTCTATCATACCTCGTATCTAGACTCATTTAGGCCAAATAAATTAAAAATGCCTAGATAGATATAGAACGGTTAGTCTAATTATCTTTCTTGACGTCATCTTGACCTATATTAACGTGAAACTTTTGCGAGTGAGTTCCAGCTCTGATGACTTCCATACAATGATGGACGAAAGATCAGCCCGTTTTCATCCGAAACGAAGGTCTCGTTGATTGCATCAACCTGAACGTCGTATTATAGCAAAACGGCTGTAGTATAATGGGAATCAGCCTTCCTTTTCTGGTGAGATCGACCTTCGTATATTTTTTTTATGCACTTTGATACGAAATGAAATTCTCCCCAACAATGTTATCTCAGAAGATTCATCGAAACCCAGTTACTCTTCGTAGCTACGTTATGTTTGCAGATTTGGTAAATTAACTCCTTAAAGGTAAGTGGCTACGGTCAAATTTGTTCATTTATATCAACAAGCCGGCTTAGCGTCATCTAATGTTGACGCATGCTTAGTGATATGGTATTGTGTATAGTACATACATAATATTCAAGTAATGTCAGGGGTGCTAGTCCTAACCAGACAAGATGCTAATCAAGCCTGGACATGGGGACTATACCAAAGAGTAAGCGAAAGATTAGGGAGGCGAAATAAATCAACAGCCAGCATCCCGAATAGAAGCAACGAATGGAGAAGTTAAGTGGAAACTAATTATGGCTGTTTGGTAGGATTAGATAAAGTGGGGGGATGAGGAGTACTGCCGAGCAAGATGAGGCTTTATTAGGTTCGAATATGGTTTTTAGCCTCACATCAAACTCGCTTCAAGGGAAATGTGTTCACATATCAAACATGTAGTGAAACGCAATCGCATGCGGTAACATCACAGGATCAAAGGCATAAGTGTCTTAGGAGAGGATGCAGCGGTTCGGCAACAATTTCACCGGATTCATGCTTTATCTGCAGCCATTTAAATGAGCCAATATTTGTGCAAAGCACAGGATACCAGACCAAAACATGAGATGCCTAATTAAATTAGCCAAACTGTAAAAACTAGGTAGGTTTGAAGCAGGCTATTATCGTTAAGCATGATGATGGACTTTTAGACCAGCACCATTTCGGTAATAAGAGACAAGTATGGTCGAATGCCAATGTTCTCTGATCAATGCTTACCTTAGATGTGAGTTGAGTAAGGCATGTCTTTACTTGAATCTCGTGCTTTCTTAACTCATTGGTGCTGGGGGTGTCGAATATATGTTGTTGTCTGACTATAAACCCGTATCAGGTTTATTGAGGTTGAATTGACTACAAAATCAAAAAGAAAAATGATAGTGAAATTTAGCGGCGAAATAAAATTCTACCCGCTTAGTTGTATGCAGCAAGCGAATGAGTCCAGGACTTGCAAGGTGGGAAACTTAATAGGGCTAAGGTGGAAGCGCCAATAAAAGTGCACTTCTCAGAAAAGTTGATGCATACTACCCATAACAGAAGTCCTTTTTAAGCAGCATCTATCAGTTTAAGTGTGCTACAGTCAATGGTAGTGTGGCTCTAGGCGATGTTAACCTAGATTTTTTTCAATAGTGAATCCCGAATCAAGTCGAAAATAATACTATGCTTCGGCGCAAAAAAGTTCTCTATTATGTAAAGAAAAGCGAGTGAAAATGGAGCAAATTTAATGCAAGATGAAACTTTTGGAAGACGCTATGAAGTGTGGGGAAATTTTATTCATCTTAAGATCCTTGCCTCAGATATCCTACCAACCTATAATTTGCACACCTAAGAGTAGAAATCGCATGCAGGAAGGATCGGCTCAACTAATGGAATAGGTTAAGTACATTTGAAGGGAGAGGAAAATATAGGAAATGTAGGAACAAATCCACTGCAAATATACATATGAAGGAAAATGAACGCCTTCTACATGGGGCAGGAACTTACAAGATCTTATGCTGATCCATTCATAAGAGGCTATATGATCTTAACCGACTACAGAGGCATAGTAATAGGATCCGAATTAGATAAAAATATGGCCGTAATGTAAATCCTCTACGGATCTAGCCACCTCTATGGAATGAGAGCAAAAAGAGTTAAACAGGGGATGGAGCAATATCCTGACCAGTAAATAAAACTTCAGTTTCTTGAAAATTGAGTTGAAAAAATTTTAGCAAGCCATAGGGAGTAAGAAGGCACCAATCCTTCCATTTATAACTACATTTTAGGGATTTGGCAACAAGGAACTTCACCTCTTGCTATTTAAAAGTACCATATTTTATTGTTGTCAAATTATCTCTGCAGGCTATAGACATTCTGCCCAAGCAAAGCACACCAGAGGCTTAGTTAAATAATATCATCAAGTGAAGATAAATCTTATGCACTACAAAGAGAGGGTATTTGAGAAAAATTTAACTCTGGGCAAGGTGAGGTCAGAGAAGTATTAATCATCATGGGGAAAAATGTAGTTAAAAGATTAATAAATTTAGGAAATTAAATATATACAAAGTGAACAGTGCTTGACTCGAGAGACTTAGCGGTTCGGCTGCTCAAGTAAATTAATGAGCATGAAATTCTAATCTGAAGGATAAGGATGTAGCCATATAAGCTCTTAGGATCAAGTCCAAGGTGCACATTAAAAGCGTGAAAGTTTGAATAATACAAAAGAATAGCTTAAGGCAGATAAGTACATATAAGATTCTAGCTCTTCGGGGATGAAGAGGCTGGGGATAAAACCCGCTGCCGGATCGAGTCAGGATAGATCGCTTCATTTTGGCAATGCATAGGAGAGGGAAGAATTCTTCCGACATTGTGAGGTGGCCAGAAACAAAATAAAACTCTCGTACGGAGTTGCGATAAAGGGATAGATCCATAGGTTCTGGAGTCAAGTGAGTGCCGAGAATTGTCCCCTTCAAGCCAAACGTGGGACCGAGGTACCTACACATAAAAGAAAAACAATATATTTATATATAAAATGTTTACCGTTTCCGAGCGATTAATCCCCTTGGATTCCGAGCGGAAGGTGACCGTTTCGCCTTCCATACCACATATACGTTTCAAGACTAAGGACGAATCTCCATTCTCTTTTACTATTTCAGCCACGACAATATCTCCACTATAAGGGTTATGATGGCACAAACTTACTGTCTTATGCGTCTGAAGTAGAGAGCAGCACTCTCAGATAATAAATAATCGCCATTATATATTGTAGGCTCCATACTGACTCCCTCACACTAAAAAAATATCTGACGAAAAATATCTGACTCTGACAACTCGAATGAAATTAATTCCCGCAAGAGTCCCGAACAAGCAAGCATACTTAATGGACTTGGGTAGCATGAACGTACACTAACAACAAGTCCGCCTTTTATTGATGAAATAAACAAAATCATATTTTTATTATTCTTTTAAACTAATAATTAGTGAATTAAAAGATAAAATCAAAACAATTAAGCAATATAGTTTTGTCAGCCCCTGGGCTTCTTTCGTGCCTGGCTTCTTCCCCATGCTTTCATCATAATTGGCATGTCCTGTATTTCCTGGGAATCGTAAGTACCCTAAAATCATTTTTGAGTAAAAGATGAGTTTTAGATTACATGTCTCCTTAAGGTATGATTTTTACATATATCTGCTTTGGTCAGACGGCAAGATACAGACTTTAGTATGCATGCTAGGCTAAAAACTGGCATATTTTTGATAGCTTTCCATAAATAAATATTGTATTAAGAAGTTTAATGTTGGTATATAAATAATTATTTTGAGCCATTAGATTACTAGCCTAACGAATGATTGAGAGTGAAATAGATCAATATAAATGTAAATGAAAGAAAAGAACAGATTGGGGAAAAGAAAATTAGATATCTACATTAGACGAAATGCATCAAGAGAGCTATACGTACTTAAATAAGGTAAACAAGTGTAAGTGC